CACGATATGATTAATGTAAAAAATTTCAATGAAATTACCCAACTTTCTCCGGGTGTATATTCCATAATACGATGTATAAAAATGAAAATGAATGGTTAATGAAAATGTCACAGACAAAACGTGTAATAGATTTTCTAACGTAACGAAGTTAATCGTGAATCGAGATCATCGATATTAACCGATTCGTCGTTCTATTCTTTTCCCCCCCTTGTTTTTTCTTTTTTTTTTTTTCTTTTTTCATAATCGCTCTCGACTTATCATCGTCCTGACGTCGATTTGAAAAAATTTGAAGAATTTCCACAAATAAGATTAATAGAGAATAAATAAAAGAAGAAAAAAGAAAAAAAAAAAGATACAAATCCATGAGGTTATAACATTTGACTTAATTAATTATCGATCATTTTGTGTGATCGTTCTTTCTTTCTTTCTTTCTTTTTTTTTTTCTTTTCTTTTCTTAACGAATCACATCACACAAAAATTATTGATATTCTGATGTATAAATTATTGATTTCGGATGTATTAAATTTCGGTATATAAATTTGTTTTTTTTTTTTCTTTTTTTTTTTGTTAACATATAATAATAAAAATCGTTTTAATCATTACCTCAGGCGATTCCGTTGAAGATTGTGTATACGTTGAAAAATGATCATCCGTCTTCGACGATAAATGTTTCCTATCACAAAACTTACAAATTTTACTGAAGAACGACATCATCTTGGTCTTCATGATGTGAATATCTCTTTGCAAATGGGACACATTTTAATTAAACGAAATCAAATAATCGACTGATCTAATAACGTCTATCAATCGATCGGATAACGATCATGTACGAAATCGATCGATGAAGTAAATGATTAGATGAAAGTAATAGTATTAAAATTATAACGAAATAAATCCGTAATTTTATTTCTTTCAAATATCATATTTCGTTCAAATTGTTCGTCCTATTTATATTCTATTTATTAATGATAAGTAAATAACATGTTTTTTTTTTTTTACATACGTATAACAATTACACGTTTACCAAGTTGAGTTTTCTTTTATTGAATTGTTATCGCCTTCGAAGATCTTATCTCCTTTTTTAACTTCTTCTTTTATTAAAAAAGGAAAGAGAAGTGTTTAAATTAAATAATCTCGCGATGACGTTTTCCGTCACATCATCGCACTAATCTCTTTTTTCCGTATGTATATACGCATGCATGTATATATTTGCGTATGTATGTATATATCTGTATCTACGTATCTACGTACGTATGTGTGTGTGTGTGTGTGTATGTATGTATGTATATATTTATCTACATATATATAAACTTATGACGTTCGATTTCGATGAGTCAAATAATATTTGGAAATAGAATAAGTCGAAAGGTCCCGTATATCTTATCTAATCCGCGAATTTATCTTCAAGTTTTTAAATCCCTTTTAACCATGTACTCTCTCTTTCTCTCTCTTTTACTCTCTTTCTCTCTTTCTCTTCGAGGGTAAATTTTCCCAACGAACGGAAAAATAATTTTTCCATTGAAATCGTTCGAACTCATTTTTAACTTCATCGTATAATTTTTTTTTTTCTTTCTTTTTTTTTTTCTTTTTTTTTCGTACGATCGTTACGAGAATTTTGCCGATTATGATTTTAAATCTCTGTAAAATTAATGATTATTTCAAAGATAACTTTGATATCATCTATAAAATGATATAAAATATTGTTTCTCGGGTCGTAGAAAAAAAGAAAAAAACAAAAGAAAGGAAAAAGAAAGAAAGAAAAGAAAGGGGAAAAAAATGAACGTTTATTTTGGGAAAAGCAAAAAAATCATTAATCATTAACTTTGAAGAATAAGACGTTAATAAAGATTAAGTTTGACATCGTTCACGTTTAATTTATTATCATCTTGTTTATATTTTCAATAACCTTGGAAATCGAACGAAATTGTGTACTTTAAAAGTGCATACAATTTATTATCTAGAAAATAAAAAGAAAAAAAGTAAAAAAAAAAAAAAAAGAAAAAAGGACAAATACAATAACAATAACGAGAAAGATATAATATACTAAATGAAACTATTCCGTTGTAATTGTCGTCACGCGTTAGATAAGACATTCGAAATTAATTCAGGAAATCCTCACTAGGTTGCACCAATATCGAGACAAAACGAGCCCGCTCTATTTTTATGATTTGAAAAGTTACGCGCATATGCATACTTATTTATTACGCCAATAAATAAATTTATTTGTCCTTTAGTTAAATAAGTTTCATTCAGATAAATCCATCGAACTATTTTTCCTTTTCTCATCATTATATACATATATATTATATATATATGTGTGTGTATATATATATCTTAACGTCTTATCTTCGTGTATGTTATATATTTTAATCTTCCATGGATAAGTTTACGACTATATATATATAGCGATAAGAAATTTTTCAATTAAAAATCGTTTTAATTCGTATGTCATGATACGAAGATGATAATATATTTATATTTACTATAAAGGATAATTAGAAAATGACAACATTTTCTCATCTGACATATTTATCAATTGATTATTTTTATTTATTAATTCAATATCGTTGTAACAATGCGAACAACGAATAAATTATCTTCTCGATTACTACATTTTAAAGGTCTGAATGAGATGTGACGACGTTGAAAAAAAAAAAAAAAAGAAAAAGGAAAAGGAAAAAAGAAAAAATTTAATAAAATCAAATTCAAAGGATTATTAAGATATGAAATAGATTTTGTTATATTTTCATTGACGTTGAAATGTCAGAACATACTTTAGATTATTTTTAACGATAAAGACTAGTGGAACTATGACATTTTTTCTTTTTTTTTTTTTTTTTAAAAAAGATTAACTTGCCTAAAGACGATTACTGATCGAAATTGATACTGATACTATTGATGATATTCAATTAATTCAATACCATAAATATTTAATGGGAAGTAACAATATATATATATATATAGAAATTTTAATACCTCATTAAAGTATTGAAGTATCAAACGAGTATTAGTATTTTTTAATATCTACGACTTAGATATTATTCGATATGGCATCATAATTTGCTGACTGATATCAATACTATTGATTTCTTATCAGTTTGATCAGACTGACAATCGATCGTTAAACTTGGGCTATATCGGTAAAGAATCAAATCTTAATTATTGTTTAGATTAGAAATAAAAAAAAAATTTTATGATATGAGGTAATCCTAATGTGTTGTATCGGTGCTATGTTATTAAAACGTTATAAATTTATAATCGATACATCCACTTTTATTTTTCTATTTGCCACATGTTCTCTCTCTCTCTTTCTCTTTCTATTTCTTGTCAGATATTCCATTGAACATATGCATCAATAAACGAAAGACGGGAGAGAAAAAATAACGTCACGTATTTTGGCGAATATCGGTGGATCGTAATATCGCAATTAATATCGTTTCGTAATCTATCGATCTTAAGGCCATCTCTCTCTCTCTCTCTCTCTCTCTCTTTCTCTCTCTCTCTCTCTCTCTCTCCTTCCCTCATTCCTTCCCACGATCAGCTGTTACTCAGCATCAAAAGCATACAGCATAAGAATCACGCGCTATCGACCATTTTTTCCTAAAATCTTCAATCGAAGAAAGTCGTAATCGCGAATCGATTTAGAACAATCTAATTAAAAGTACAAATGGTAATAGGTCAAAGTCAAATAATCGATCTTAAAAAAACTTTAATCATTCAAATCATATTCTATACGGTCTAGAATTAACTTAGATCCCTTTGGGAAATGTATCATTCTTATTTTCTAGATCGCTTCGTAACTATAAGAAGTGACTAACGTTCAATTAGCAAATAAACGAGTAGTTCTTAATTAATTAGACACACTCTTCCTTACTTATAACTCGGCTTATGCAACGGAGAAAGTCAAGGCCATTTTAAAGAGAGTTAAACGATATTAGACTCACAGTTTGATCTATGTGCTCCCATTTCTCTCCCACGTCGTTCCGAGATTCTTCCGTCATCTCTGTTGTCTCTCAAGGTCAATGTATCGTCGGCCAGAAATCGTGTCGCGCAATCTGAATTTCCGCGAAATTATTTTTTCTTTTTTTTCTTTTTCTTAAATGAGATGAGAGGTAAGGCGCGCGATCGATCTTTTTTTTAGAAGAGAGTATCTCGAGTACGTAACGATCGTTGTTGATAAAGAGAGAGAGCCGATCTTGGCGCCTCTTTAGAGATCACTAAGAGCTTACATCACATGAGTCCTACATCTAGATCTATCTCTCTTCTCGCGTCTAGAAATACAACGACTCCTGTGTACATGTGGAAAGATTATTTTGGGCGATCGTTACCAGACAAGATATTCTCTTCGGGCTTCGATCTTACGCCTTTCCGATGGCTCTCAAAAAGTTTTCTCAATGTTAAATCCTTTCAATGGTTTTCGAGATATTTCATTAGATTGAAAAAAAAATATTGATCGGGCAATCGAAGAAATAAAATGTCTTAACGATATGGAATAATTGTTTCAATGGTTTTTTTTTGTGTTTTTTTTTTTTTGCAATGAAAGCTACCCCTTTCAGTAATTTCATTGTTATCTACCTTACCGACCGAACGAAATTCGTCGACTATCGACGAATTCGTCGAATATCGAATCTTTTCTTTTTTTTTTTTTTTCTGTTTTTTTCTAATTTCTTTCTTTACGAAATTCTCCGATCGATTTTATGTTTAATATACGTTCTTGATATTTACGTAACACGTAAGAACGATTAGATGAACGAAAATTGATTATTATTATTATAAAAGAATGTTGTTAAATCTTCGATATGATCGAGTCGTTATATTTAATTTAATTTACTTTTTGTAATTTATTTGTTGGAATATTTAAATTTCATTTTTAATATTTAAAAAAAATTCATTGATAAATCAATAATGCTTCATTTATTTCTTACTTTTACCAACCGAGACAAGCCCATATATTTTTTAATCGTTTCCAGATCGGTAATAAATGCATATATTCAAAAATGGCGCGATTAATAGAACAAAAGAAGATCAATGAGAATGTAAACAATGTGATTTATTTTTCACAATTCATCGAATATTGTCATACTAATATCACGTGTCATCTAGAAAGTTCTTGTTTTAAATAGTAAGTAAAATTTATTCTTATGATAAATATAAAAGTATGGATATACAATTGAATTATTCTAAACACGTGTTTCTCTCTCTCTCTCTCCCTTTCTCTTTCTCTCTCTCTCTCTCTTCTGCGGTGTGAATAAACGTTCTATCGGTTTATGTATGTATTCATTAAAAGTAAAAATTCATGGGAAATATTAATTCCGTGATTTATAATTAGAAAAGGATCCCAAATAATAGCTTGAAGACAAGAGAATCCGGAAATGCGGTCAGTGATATAAAATCGAAGAGTTCCATTGCGCGCAGTTACAATATTTATTCATCAATATGGCGGACGGCGATTTACTCGTTAATATTTCGGGCGCTGCTCTTTCTTTATTACTTTACGAAAATGTACGCAACGTCGGAGATCAGGTGAGTTATTTTATATTAATCCTTTAGCTTAATTATATTTTCGTTCTCTTAACGGCATTAATTATTGATCATTTTTCTAACTTATTGACTTTAAACGCACTTAACCTTTTTCGATTAAATATGGTTTCGAATGTACAATAACATATCAATCATTATTTACAGATGGGCTTTCTACTCGGTGAAATAGTTGAGTATATTGTTAAAAAGTTCACGGATTCTGACAATCAAGTGGATATTAAAAGACATATTAGTAAGTATGACGATCACGTATCTTTCTATATATATATATATATATAATATATATATCACTAATGATACAAAGAGATCATTCTTCGAACTCACAATCAGTACGATTGTAAAATTTGAAAGCAGCGTTTATTGTGATACATAACCTCGTGCACGAAAGAAATGTTCAAGCTATGATCTGTATTAAATAAAATTTCGTGTGTCTGCGGCATCTTGTAGAATGTATTGCGATAAGAATTGCAATATATATAAATTATACATTTATATATATTCTTTTAGATATTGAAACTGTTGTGACATGCTCTATGCCAGATATTTTGCATGATTCAACCGGTAGAATCGATAAAGAGAAGTTGAAAGATTTCTTGTCTTATAAAAGCAAACAAGTTATTGGATGGTTTAGATTTAGACACAACTCTTGCTTGGTACCTACTTTAAGGGATAAACTTTTGCACAAACAGTTTGCTTCGCACTTCTCTAGTAGTCATGGTTATAAAGAGGATTTCTTTGTCACGTGTCTATTGTCCTCTTCTGTGTCAAATACAAGCGGAACTCATAAATTTAGACACGTCCTTTTGAGGCGTAGAAGAGGGTATGTATATATTAAATTCTGTAACCTTTTTTATAGTAATATAGATCATATTATAGGACATTTGAACCAATATCCTTGAAGATAAGTAGTTTAAGGGATGGTGAACCTTCGCTTGATGGTTCAGATTATAAACTTACCCCTCAAACAAGATCGATAGGAGAGATTGATACATTTACTAAAATAATACAATCGCTCAAGTAAGTGATTATATTTCTTGCATAATAAAACAATGATATAATTCTATTTTAAATGAAATAAACGTCCGTTTCTTTAGATTAAATCTTACACAAATACCTGGCATTGAATCTGCAACTATTATAGAAAAAGAAGCTGAAAAATATTTAAATACGTTAATCCCAAAAGTTTGCGAATCCGATCGTGAAGTTTTTGAATTGGAAAAGCAAATAGGAGAACTCAGGGATAAAATACGCTTGCAGAACTTAGCTAAGACAAAAATTAATGGTAATTCGGAATCGACTAAGTTGAATTATGATCCTGATAAAAATAGTAGTTACGAGGAGAACAATTTATCATCAGAAAAAACAGATGCTCCTGGTAAAATCTACGAAGATGACCAACTATACAAGTACCATTCTTTAACAGTATGTTATCATAATCATCATTTTTTACTTTCATAAGTTTAGTCTTATGATTTCTTATTCTGTCTTTTACTTAGGATGAATCAAGTGACAACCGACCAGGTAGTACAAGAACTGTTCATACAGAAAGTGTGTCCAAGGAAAAGCTGAAAATAGGATTAAATACAGACACGCAGAACAGTCAAACTCGTGATCCATTTACTACAAGCATGGTTTCGAATGCAAAGTTAGATATGGTTGGAAGCACATTAAAAAGAAACAAATGTTCAACTAATATGATTTCTGAGATCTCGAGACAATCAATAACTATGGGAGATCAGATTGAAAGTGGTGTCGGTAGAGGTAGTCCAAAATATGGACAAGATTTGTTAAAGGCTAGACGAGGATCAGGATTACGTCATAACAATGAAAGAAATATAGGAGAATCCTCGGAACAGTCTTCGATAAAGCATACTATTCAAAATCAGCAACAACCTCCTATTTATGAAGAAACTTCAAAAAGAAATATCGACAAGCGCAATTTTTCAGATATGTCAGATACTCATTGAAGTAAATACAGTCCTATGGAGTTCAACCATTCCAAGGATTGTATAATCCTTAGCTTTCTTTGAGAGCTTCATGAAAATACTTAAAATTGTTCCAAAGCGTTTTATGCGAATAAAGCATGACCATATTCTTAGAACTACTTTATGCTCCACAAGATGCGTTGTAAATATTTCTTACGCTGAAATATAACAATTTTGAAACTTGAATAAAATACAATATATTTATGCCTTATCTATTGATCAGGTAATAATATTTCAATTTTTGGAAAATATTACGAAGATTTATAATGTTTATCTTTGTGGAAAAAAAAAAAGAAAAAAAAAAAAAAGAAAAAAAGAAAGAAAGAACAAGAATTTTAAGCAGAATCTTTTTTTTTTCTCAGTGCATCTATACGTATTGCAAAATATTCTTAACATATATAATTATTTTCTTTGTTATATTATCTTGAGTGATATATAAGGAATCAAAAACTGAAGCTGTGTTTTTATGCCCTTTATTATGCTTAAATAAAACTTGGGAAGAGTATTGAAAGGTTTTTATACTAATACTTTCCTGTGTATAACATATTACATTAAATTAATAAAAGTATAAAATAAATATGTATTTTCGAATATCGTATGTTATAAATACTGAATTAATACGTAACTTTGAACACCTCATAGATAGGCAGTTCAAAATTTTCTTTTTCTTTTTTTCTTTTACATTTTTACTGCATAGACGTAAACAACTGTTCCAATATATATGTATATATAAATTTTTTTACAAAATATCAGCAGGATTGTTTGGTACACCTGTAACTTCCCATATAGTAGCTGCAAGTCTTCTGGAGTGCTCCAAAACGCAAGATGAGGTAGCCAATCCTAAATGTACACAGTATAATTCATAGATCCTAATTTTATTTGGAGATAATTTAGGAAAACACGCTTCAGCCAGTTTCCTATACAAAGTCGTATTTAAAGTTATTTATTATTTATATTAATAAAACACATATATACATGTATATATATATATGTGTGTGTGTGTGTGTGTGTCTGTGTGCGCACATATATGTTTATATAAAATAGATTGGTATAAAAAAATGGTAAGAAATGAATAAAAGTATGACAAGACATATGAGTAACACAATTTGTTACATACCTATAATAGTCCCCACAAAGTATACCAGGTACTGGAAAATTTTTCATCAAATGATTTAAATAAACTTTCAATTTAAGAGGAGATCCCTAAATGATAAATACATTTTTGTTAATTATTATTTTATAATTATAAATGTAAAAAAAAAATTTAAATACCTACCGAATTATCTTCGAACCATAAAAAGTAAGCATAATTAAATGTTGTATCTTTCCACATAACTGACAAATGTCCTTCTTGCAGGTGCATTCTACTTTGCTTCACCATATTCCAAATCTGTATAAGTAAATTAAGATTCAATATTAAATCAGGAATTTGATGATTCCTTGTAATTGATAATTGTGTCTACCTTTTTTGTAGTAAGGGCAAGAGTTTCAGAATTGGTGAAGTCTAATGTTGGTGCTGTTAATCTGTGGGTTGTTCTATCAATGTATATAAAATGCACCAAACCTGGAAATTCTTCTAGATATTTGTTGATGGTTAGGGAAGTTCTCGTAGATTGTATAGCATTAAGGATCTATATTATAAAAATTTGGATATTTTGATGAAATAATAATATATGTAAAAAAAAAAAAAAAAAAAAAATTTTTTTTTAATTATAGAAAGCATAAAGAAATAACTTTTAAAAAAGGATATGATCCAAGAGTGAAGTTCTTCAATGCCTTTACTTTAAGAAAATCACTGAAATCGTTCAGTTTTTGGCGCACCAAACGGCCCACTGTTGTTAATACATCAACGCCTTGTTTTAAAAAATTTCTATCGAAACATGTTAAACGAAATAATTCTTTTACAGTATCTGTAAAACCAGATGTATTGGATTCGATTTGAAGAATTGATTCTGGATCCCTAGATTTTAAAAGTTCTGTATATTTCTTTTTCACAAATTCCCATTTTACTTGCAATCTTCTTTGGCACATATCAACGTCATTATTAACATTGGCTCGATTTTTTTTAATTCCATCTAAACCTTTCTTTATAGATGCGTCAAGACTATCGAATGCTGGTCTCAATTCATCAATATCTCTTTGAAGTTGTAAACCATTTATGATATTTAAATAATGAAATGTGTCATATAATCCAGATGATGTGGCTAAGTTTGTCACTTCTATTATGGTTACAAGATAAATACCATCGTCTATTTCAAAAACATGGACAGCATTTGCAGTATAATCATGTTCAGATCCAAGGAGTATTATTTGACTGTATAAACCGTCATGTATTAAAGAATGAAGATCTTCGCTTAAAGAAGATTCTCTTGATCCTCCTGTAATGCAATAATAGGTAACAAATAATAGGTAATAAATGTTAACAATAACAATAATCTATATTTTAGAAACTATTAATCTTGATATCATACTAAATAAATTTGTAATATCTTCCAAAGTTGGATTTGATAGTTTTGCACCGAATGGTTTTGATTCTTCTTCTCTAGAAGAACTATTATGTGGTAATAGAATATCATCATTATCATCATCATTTCCATCTGTTTCGTTGTCAATTTGTTTTTTATGATTAATAACCCAACACATTAAGATCATTAATAAAATATCTGATGCGCATAAATCATGAGCATTTTTACTAGAATATAAGGATAAAAATTTTTGTTTTACAAGTAATAGAACGTGTATATTTGAAAATTCAGATTGCGCTTTCAATTTGTCGCAGGCATCATTAAGAACTTTTAAAATGACAGATGCTAAATCTGCATTAACGGATAATTGTTCTACAGCTTCTGTCAATATACTTTGTTCAGAACCACGTAATTCTACCCATGCATCTAATAAAGATGAAACCAAATGGACCTTTTGCCTACTTGATTTTAATCTAAAATCAATATAATAAGAATTAGAGGATTTAAGGAATATTAAAAAACAAATAATCATATTAACATATTCTTACATTGTAACGTCTGGTCCACAAACATGTCGAACTATTGAAACACATATACCTAAAGTTCTCTTCATTAATTCTATTTCTTCTATACCAACGTAAATAAATGTATATCCCATGTATTCATCAAATACCATATTTGTACCATCTTGACATTTCATAGATGTATAAGAATTACCAAATTGTGAAGCCATGGCATATTGAGAAGTAACAATTGGTGAAAATAATTGCATAATAATATTTGGACATGGTTTTGGATCAATATCATCAGTATTCTGTAAAATAAATTATTTATTGCTATTATCTATACATTCAAGTGTTAAGATAATTGTAATATAATACCAATTGGATATGTATTAACGTATTAACGTATTAACATTATAGATCTAGTAATATAATACCAATGAGAGTATTGCAAATCTAATATAAATTAAAATCTTCAAGCAATAATATTAAAAAGGAATACCTTATTTTCAGTTATTAATCCTTGTGCTCTAGCTAATTTTTGTATGTGAAATGCAAATTTCTTATCGCATTTAGTAAATAATACATCATTGAGATTGTCAAATATTAAAATTCCCTTCATTATAAAATTAAATAAAACTGTTTTGGAATGTATTATAGAATATACGCAAATTTTTCTTTCTCTTTTATATAATTACACCACTCATATGGTTTCGCGCTTTTACAGTTTACACTATCTTAAGCACTCTGTGTTCATACCTGTCAAGAGATTGATCACAGATGGCACTACATTTTCTTGTTAAACATAGAAATTCGATCGCCAGAGAGCGCAGGTCATATTCGTTGTCGGCGCCATTTAAAAATCAACGAAACGAGAGAGATATCTGCTTACACCTGTGTAATATCTAATTTTTTTTTTTTTTTTCAAATTAAATCAATCCTTCTTTTTCAAATAATCTAATTCGATTTATTTCAAGTCGAGCAAAAGAATATTTTTAAAGAATTTTCATCACTGCGACAACAATTTTATTTTCAAAGAATTTGTAAGAGGTTATTTCTCGATAATTTTGTGTATATATATATATATATATACTAATCAATTTAAAAGTACGTTCGATAAATGACGTAAAAAGAAAAAATACAATTATGTCCAAGATTAATCAAGATATTAATCATTGTTAGTATAGATAAGACAAAAAAATCGGTATGCACAAATATATAAAAAACAAAACAAAAAATGTACAATATTTTTCGCGCATTATGAAATACAAAAATAGAAAATATGTAATTAAAAATAATTTATCAGAATAAGTGATTAGTTGTCATTGTATGTGAGAGCTAAAAATGTATGTATACAAATGTATACAAAAAATATCCAATATCTTTTGCCCACGTTAAACAATATAATAATTGATAAATGCGAATATTGTATTCTAAAAAGAAAGAAAAGAAAAAAAAAAGAAAAAAAAAGGGAAAAAACAAAACATAAGAAAGAGGAAAGAAAAAAGGAGAAAATCACTTGTTAAAAAAAATCACGAGTTTACGTAAAAATTCAAATTAATAATATAAAATCTTAATGCGTTATATCATTATATTATTACTTATGAAATAAAATATTTTTTTAGGAAGAAGATATAAAAAAGAAAGAAGAGCAAAGAGAACGAGAGAGAGAGAGAGAGAGAGAGAAAGAGAAAGAGAGAGAGAGAGAGAGAGAGAGAGAGAGAATAATAAAAGTAAATCGCATATTCATTTAATATAGGTCAGGAGAACGCGAATGACCGAAAATGGTCGAAGATTGAACCGAAGAAGCTATCTCGTCGATTCTTCGCGTATGTATTCCTGGTAGGTGTGTATTTCTGGTATGGTGGTATACATGGACCCCACCTCTTCCATGAAACTATCACTACCTGCGTGGAGATCATCTCCGGAGTAAAAGCTGAGAACCGGACAAGCATAGGGACAGACAGCATCATGCGCTTGGTGAGTACAAAACAAATTCAACAATTATATTCTCCTTCCTTTTCTTCTTTTCTTCTCTTCTTCTTCTTTTTTTTTTCTCTTCCTTTTTTATTTCCTTTTTGTTTTTCTTTTTCTCTTTTTTTTTTCTTTTTTTTTTTTTTTTTTTTTTATTTATTTATTTATTTCATCTTTCGTTTTGTTTCGTTACGTTACTCTCGTTTTTTTCTTTTATTTGTTTATTTATTTATTTATTTCCTTTTTTTTTTTTTTTTTTTTTTTTTTTTCTATCTACCTAGCAACTCTCAATTAAACTTATCCTTCTTTTTTTTCCCTCTCGTTGAAATCACTTGCGTTTGATGACTGAGAAAACATTTTGTGATCAAAAGTGACAGTGAACGAGTTTTTTTTTTTCTTTTTTTTTTTTTTGACTATGACAAGTGAGAATTGTATGTATTTATGTTATGGTACCGGTAATTATTAGTGACGGACTACATTTAAAATTTCAAATAGCAAACAAGTTTGAGGATAATCCGTGATAATTTCTTAAATAAGATAAACCTTTGAGATTTTTTATTCCCTTTCGATCTCGATAAACACTTTCTTCTCTTTTATTTTTTCTTTTCTTTTTTTTTATCATTCGCAGACACTGATTCAAAATCATTAATTGGTATTGATACTCGAGAAATTTTTAATTTGCTTGAAAGACGTAAGAAGATAATAATAACAATAATAAAAAAAAAAAAAAAAGAAAAAAAAAGAAAAAAAAACAAAACAAAAGAAAGAAAGAAAAAACAATATCTTTGTTTCGTCAATGAGATGTCAAACGTGATTTTTAAGTTTTCTTTTTTTTTTATTTTTTTTTTTTCGTTTTTTTTTTGTTTTTTTTTTTTGTTTTTTTTTGTTTATAACGATGAGAAGTAGAAGTAGAAAGATATACATTTCTCAATGGCAACTTTCTTCTTCTGAGTTTCCCGAGAGTATAAACTTTATATATATATATGTGTGTGTGTGTGCATGTGTGTGTATGTGCGTGTGTGTGTATGTGCGTGTGTGCGTGTACGTGTGTGTACGTATGTATATATACATATACATATCATATATACATATACATATATGTATCTACGGATATATATATATATATATATACATACGTACGAATTTTTTTTATGCTCTTTTAATCAAACATTGTCGATAATTCTTTCTTCCTTTTTAATCGGCCTGGCCGATTTGTCTTTTTCGCGTATCGACGGTTCCGCTACGTAAAGTGAAAACGTAGCGTCGTATAAATATAATCGTTTGTCGCAAAAGGAATCTTCCTTCTTTTCTTTTGGATCGTCGGTGCTTGTCGTATGTACTTTCGTTGCTTGAAAAAAAGAAAAAAAAGAAAAAAAAAAAAAAAGATCGAAAGTAAACAAAAATATCAAACAAAATAACGGAAGGGACTAATTATTATTATTCTTTTTTTTTTTTTCAATGATTTTATAAAGACAACTCATTCTTTTCTTTTTTTTTCTTTTTTTTTTTTTTTCTTTTTATAAATTTCTTGTAATTCGGGATAAAAGGACGCGCGATGATAAATGATAACAATTTGTTTCGTATTTATCCAAGGATAAAATTATTGAATTATTTTTTCTCAGAGATTTCAGAGGGACGATTCTTTTTTTTTTTTATTTTTTTTTTTTTACATTTCTTGTAATACGTGATAAAGAACGTGCACGTTGATAATGATAACAGTTTGCTTACGTTCTCCTCCGAGGATAAAATTATTGAATTATTTTTTCTCAAAAATTTCACGGAGACAATTCATTCATTTTCTTCTTCTTCTTCTTCTTCTTCTTCTTCTTCTTCTTCTTCTTCTTCTTCTTCTTCTTCTTCTTCTTCTTTCAATTTCTCGTAATCCATGATAAAGGAGAGATTGATAATGATAATAATTTGTTTCATTTTCACAAGGATACTTATAGTTTTCTCTCGTCGATAATTTGACATACTAACACATTTATTGGCTTTCATTGTAACGGTTTAACGTTGTATACGTTTGTAAAATAGAGAGAATGAGATAAGAAAAAAGATTGGAAAGATATTTATTAGTAATTTTTTTTCTATAAGTCGGTGGTGTAACGTACATGTTTATCATTGAGACGAACATGAATTTCACGAGTAAATCACGCGAACAGTTGCAGTTTGCGTTCGCTATTTCGACGGCCCACTTGTCATGTGGCACGCGTGCGTGTTCTTCTACTATAGGCGTTCTAATTGCCATATTTAAAAACGGTCTACCGCGCAAATTAATATCGCATTAGAATCACGCGAACAAAATCATACAAATGCGATCGAAATTGATCTCACTTTCGTAAGAAAAATCGTAATCCTCTTTCTCTTTTTTATATCAATCAAATGCGAAACCGAATTAATTAGGATTATTCGTGAGTTTGCATGAATCATGGGGAGAGAGAGAGAGAGAGAGAGAGAGATAGGAGAGAGAGAAGAGGAGAGAAAACATTCGAGTCTCTTTTGAATTTCACTCGATTCGTTTCATTCGCTCATAACTGATTGATCATAATTTTCTTCATTTATTATATTGTAGATTTAAATTGTATTGTTTTATAACGAATTTTTATTATTTAAATTAAGAATTGTATAAAAATTTGTTAAATCGTCATTATTTATAATTATTTATAATTGAAATTATTATTTATAATCATTCAAAAATTTTGTATTATAAATAATTATTTCTATAGATAATTATAATGATTCATTTAATCGGAAGAAAAGTTTTAAAATTATATCCGTTATAATATCAATGAAATTTATTTTCTTTCTCTCGTCGAATTTTTTTCTATCGTTATTTAATTATATTAGAATTTTATCTTATCCTTTTTTTATTAAAAGATTCGATCATTCAGATTATTAAAGTTTATGTCAAGGTTACATATAAATCCGTTTTATGTCAAAGAAGTAATAGGTTAAAGATCAATCCATTGAATGAACAACATGTATATATATATATATATATATATATATGTGTGTGTGTATGTATATGAGTACATATAAAGATCCGTATAATCGATCTTCTAATAGTCTTTTAAAACGGGTTTCGTTCACGTTGAAATTCTCGATTGCAGGTACCGTTGACTTTGAAGACCGTTAGATTCCAACAAGGACAAGTTGTTCTTCAAGAAATGCCCGATCACGGTTAATTTTTAAATTAACATGCCGAATGTTAGGGGTCATGCATTACATGTAATATGTATCTTTTTTTTATCTTCTTGTTTTTTTTTTGTGTTTGTTTTTTTTTTTTTTTTCTTTGCTTAAACCTCTCATCCCTCATGCGTTAGCCGCATTCAGAGAGAAAGTAATTTTATAATCGGATTTATACGACGAGAGTCCGAAAGAATTGGGCGTGGATGAGTCTCAGCGTAGTATTTTACTGGAAGTTCAATGACCCCAAAGCAGGTGGCATCTTTTCGATGTAGCAAGAGAGAAAGAGAAAGAGAGAGAAAAGTCTTTCTTCTTTTTCTTTTTTTTTTTTTTTTTCTTTTCTTTTCGACAGGATGACGTGTAATCCAGTCTTTGAAACAGAAGATAAACCTACGGCTGGTGTCCATATTTAATTTCTATAAACACACATACACACACACACACACGCACACATATATATATATATATATATATATATATACATCTTATAGATATTTATAGAGAATTATAACTATTTGAAATAGAAAATAAATTTACAAATATAGAGTCTATATTATATATATATATAAAAACATATATATATATATAATATATCATATAGATAAAATTTTATTTTAAATGAGAAAAAAGAATATAATTTCTTTTCTAAATTTTAAAAAAATTCATTGGAAAACTAAAGTTTTTTTTTTTTTCTTTTTCTTTTTTTCTTGATCTAAATTCATCCAATCGAAATTGATCGTATATCTTCTAATCGTTGATGATTGATCACCGATTAAAGACAGAAATTCTTCGGTTCGCATGCATACAAACACATATGTAAAAATCTCTCGTTTGGATGGGAAGTAGTCACGATACTCAGGCACGTCGGCCCGTTATTCGCCGACTTTCACTCCTCTGATGTACTCCGAGGATGATACGATGCGTAGCCGGAGCATACGTTGCGTTTAATTGCATTCGGTCCTGTCCTCTTTCCTCTCCTTCTCCTTCTCCTTCTTCTTCTTTTCTATCTCCATCCCCATCTCAATTTTTTTCTTTCTTTCTTTCTTTCTTTCTTTCTTTCTTTCTTCGTATTCCATCCACCATTACATTCACATATATATTCTTTCTCACTCATGGTGCATTATTCAACGCCAAGGACTCATTGTATAATCGAATTGGCGTACTTGGCGACACTGCACATTGATTCCCGCTTTCACGCATCATTGCGTTTCCGCATTTCTTCGAAGGACTCCTTCGAAATTTTAATGAACTCAACGTGATAGCGCCTGAATCAATTCGAAATGTACTTATTTGTATCTTGTAATAGACAAGGAAGGAAAATGATTCGAACGAGTCGGATAAAGTTAATCAGAATCTATTAATGGTGATAAAAGAATACGTATCTTTGATTTCTGGTTTTTTCTCTCTCTCTCTCTCTCTCTCTCTCTCTCTCTCTCTTTCTCTCTCTTTTTTTATTTTTTTTTTTTGGGGAGGGGGGGTATATTACGTTGAAACGAATACTACTCGTTGATTTCAAATTTCACGCATCATTGCGTTTCCCGTATTTCTACGTAGGACTCTCTTGAAATTTTAATGAACGGAACGTCGTACGTGAATTAACTCGAGAATACATGCAATAGAAAAGAAATGAAACGAATGAAATGATGAGTCAGATAAGATTGGTCAGGGTTGCGTTAATGATAATAACAAATATAAATTTTTCGACTTTTTTTTTATTCTCTTTTCCTTTTTATGATATTACATTAAATCAAATCGTTGATTTTCAAATTTCACGCGTCATTGCATTTCTCTACGTAGGACTCTATTGAAATTTTAAATGAATA